GCAGGAAGGAAGAGTGCCCCCCTAACTTGAAAACGAAAAGCAACGTAGCAGTGAGCCTAGAGAAGTGCACAACACTCGCTGCGACGTGGATCAGACACAAGGAGATTGTAAAGAAAATGTAACAAAAGCGTTAACACTGCGTGCTGCAGTGCGTTTAGAAGAGACGCACGTCGGGAATTACACTGAGACACAGGAAGGGGACCACGTGGACTAGAGAACAAACGCAAGTTGTAGACATCGTCCTCGACTCGCTCGGAGTGACAATGATCGGCAATGGTCACGACGGAGGTAGTGCGCCTGCCAGGGACGTCCGCCCGCAGGGAGATGGAGCAGGCGTGAGATCGATTCTGCACTGCGAGAGACCACGATGACTCGGGGAGGGAGGCTTTCGTCCAACAAGCGGATAGAGAATGGCCGTGGATGTTCACGACGATGATGACGACGAGGGTGACGATGATTCATTTAACCGGCGCCAGAGGGGTCGGTGGCCCCGATTCAACCCCCTCGACCGCCGTGATTTGAACTCGCAACCCCCTCGGTCGCCAACCCCAGCACGCTCCGGCCGTATGCGCCAGCCGAGGGGCATTCCATCCGCAGGGAGGCTGACGCGGGCACCACGGAGCACAACGTTGCGCCACATTCCATACACACGGACGTCTCATCCGCGGGCACAAAACAAAAATAGCCCCCCCTCCTCCCCATCTTCATCGGTACCCGCAAGCACCGCGGCCACGTTGACACCCAGCAGCGAGGCTCACGGCCCTCTCTGTTTCGCCACCCCAACGCTGGCGGGCGTGTGGCGGTGGACTCGCAGCGGCACACCGAGGCACAGCGCAATTGCTCATGCCGAAGTAAAGTGAACCGAGATGGCCCCCGTTTTGTTGCTTGGTTCGAGCCGTATAGTAACATATCGTGTGCGCTCATGGGCGTACGTGTGTGTTGTGTGTTGTAGCGGTTAGGCGCGCTGACGCGCTACAAAGCCGCCTACCCGAGTTCGATTCCCGTACCTGGTGCGGTGTTTTAAACATCGCCATTCGGGAGGCAAAGGCGGCCGGCGTGGTCTTGGCCACCCACCCGCTCGTGTGCTGTGCATGCCTAATAGGTGCTCGCTAACAGCACTTGCTCCAACAGCCTGTTTAAGTGGTCTGTGTGTGTATATATATATCGTGGGGACCGGTAGTGCAGTGGTTAGCGCACTCTGCTACGAACACACTGACTCGCTGATGAACATCTTAACCGGACCTGGGCCTCCCCTCAGTATACTCAGCCATAAATGAGTATCTGGTACAGTGTGTAAACATTGGGAAGACGAAGGTGGCTGGGCATGGATGTTGGTCACCCACCCGCTCGTTTGCCATGCCGCGAACAGCAATTTCCCCAACAGCTATTTGGGAGATCTGTGTCCTGTGCGCTTGTGAGTGTGTCTTGTTTTATTTTATTATCCTTTGCTTGCCTCTCTAACGCGTATTTTTGGCGATGTTATCATCTTGTCGTGCATTTTGCTCTGCTTCGTGTCCCCGCATAATAACGGCAATCGCACCCACCAGGCCTGGCCTGGCTACCATCTCACGCAGTCGCCCGTGTGCACGCATTGTCAACAGAGACACATCCACACCCGGCAGTGTTCACGGATGCCCAAGAAAGAATCGTTCTTAAACCGCAAGTCCCCTCTGCCGCAGCCGGACATTGCGGCGCAAGTTTACAACCCAGAGCTCGCGGGTGACGCTGGGCTGCGAGGTGGCCAGGGCATGACGATACAGCAAGTGGGTTTCATAAATCCATTTGTGCGGAGCTGTGAGTGTTATCCCCTTGTGACGCACGGTGGGATTGGCTGCGCGCGCGCGACCGACCGCTCGCTCCCTGCCATTGCCTCCTGAACCCTTCGCTGTGTTGCCGAGGCGTTCGTTTCGTCACGGGCCAATTATAAGAAGATGCACGCAAGACGTCGTCGTTGTTGTTGTTGTTGTGCTGCGTGGGTTTCCGTGGTTGTGCTGCGTGGCTCTCCGATGCGTTTTCAGGTTGAACCGCGCGTTTGTTGTTCGGCAGGCGATGTCTGACGTTCCGCTCCCAGGTTCTCGTATGAACCTCTCGTATGAGCCGAACAATTCGGAAGCAACGAGGAGTGAGAAGGTCGCAGCCACCGTGCCGAGCAGCGCGCGGTCAACCCCGGAAAAAAAAACTCATCGGAGAACCAAGAAGAGGCATCATCGATATGATTGTTTTTGTATTATTATTTTTATCATTATAAGAGTAATGAACCCAGCTGCCTTAGGCGGCGTGACCTTGCAATTCCGTCCACTGTGACACCGCGCGTGATTGGCCGTGTAACGCCCAGAACTCTCCTGAGCGGCGTGCAGGCAACTCCCCGGGGAGTGGAGCCTCCCCGCGTAACGCAGCTTCATAGAGAAGGAGATCCCCAAGCAGATCTGTCCCCCCACCCGCGTCCATTGGCGCGAGCCCTCCACGCGCTCTCCTTTGGCGTCTCACTTTGAGCGCTGTGCGCAAGGCCCCAAGGCGTTGCGACCGTTGGTGGCGATTGCCGTGACCCTTAGACAGACCCCGAGGTCACCGCTGTGAGATGCTTCCGGCGCCCTCTGTAATGTGGCAGCGTCACGGCGAGGCGCAGCTCGATCGCTCTCAGTGCGCGCATTCAAGTCGCAAAATGTCATCAAGCGGCGGAACAGACCCTGAGGGCACGCCCAGGCATGCGTGCCCCACTCACTGTGGGGGCAATGAACGAGCTCTTTTGATAATGGGCAGTAGACCGGACGAGATAAGCGTTTCAATTTCGGGTCTGTTTGTTTTCAGAGCATCAACGCGTCGTGACCTTTAACTCCCGCTGCGTGACGCGACGATCTGCGAGCGTGAGGAGGTGCCACGCGTTGTGCGTGTTGCTTAAAGTGACAAATATGCGAGTCCATTCACAGTGAAAGGTCAAAGACATATTCTCAGCCTGCGAAGACTGATTAGAATGAGCGACATTGGTTTATGAGGCCGCGAGTTAGTTGCCAGCTAATGAGATGCAATGAAGTGAAACGTGATCCAAGGTTGCTTGGTCTACCAAACAATTGCCACTGGGGGAAACATTTCGTCTTGAATAAGACCCATTGGGTCGATCGATGAAACGCATTCCAACCAAATAGTGCAACATTTCTGCCTACTTGTTTAATTCTTGGAAATTGTGGGAAAGTATGAATTGATATAAACTCTAAATCCCAGCAGCCATAATGGACGCTTTTAATCACTGAATGTGTAATATGTGGGTGTCGGTATCATCAATCTCAAGCTATTAGGAATGGGGGGGGGCGTGGTTTTATGAAAGTCCTGAGGGGTTTTTGACCATACTTCACCACGATGGCCAGCACAGCTTGGTGGAGATGCCTCCTCGCGGGAATTCACTGCGACCACGCTAGTCATTCTAAACTAAGCTATTTAATATGTTACCAGGTAAAGCCCACTGAGCTATGTAGCTCTTCTTCAGAAGCGACCTGGCCACAAATGATAGCTCAACAAAGTGGCTCATCACGTGGACATTTATAGCAGCAGCCAAATACTCTAAACGCGTGACGTTAATTCTAAATGTGGAGAGAGACACGCAAACTCCAAATATGCAGCAGGCGTCAGAGTCGGAATCGAAGCAACGACCTCCTGTCAACTCGGCGAGGTAGAGAACATCTGGCCACCATGGCGCCCATTGAAATGTATGGCAAGTCACAATGACTGCAGTTAAAGCTGCTATATCTTATATTATTTTATATACATTTATATAAAGCCTGATTCCAAGGCACTTTACAACAATTATACAATTGTACATTAGATGATAGTGGTTAAGATAAAGAGTGTGGTTATTGAAAGTGGCGGTGTAGATTGCCATCTGTCTACCCCAATTATAATAAGACAACAATAATTTTAAATCGATAACAAAAATCCGAATTAATGAATGGTTATACACATGGGAAGAAACCGGAGTGCAGTAACACCCCGGCTTACGTGCGACGACGAATATCGAAACGACGTCAATCAAAGAAGCGATGTACAGGGTAGTAGTGGGTGGTGGTGGTAGAGGCTGAGAGAGGTGACAGATAGCGAGAGAGAGAGGAGGGACGGCGATGCTCTCCGCGACGTAGTTGTGGGTTGAGGTGACGCTAATCAAGTCGTGGTGTTATTAATAAAGTGGCGACGGATTTGCGAAGCGACGTAAAAGGGGGAGACGTAGCTCGGGGCATGACTATCCCTGGAGGAAACCCACCCCATTGAGGGGCAACGCTCGATCCGATACAGATGGAGCAGATGGAGATTAGTTCACACTTGCTCTACCGCATTCTCATGGCAAGCTAGGGTATGGAAACCTTGACGGCTGCGGGAAGAGTTTCACAACATTTCAGTGTAATCCACCAACCCTCAATGCTGGATTAGGGGCAGCCACGGTCATAGCCACCGTGACACCAACACATTCCCCGCTGCTGATCGTCATGCATAACAACAAAAAAATATTCAACATTTTCAAAAACAATTCTCTTGCGATCTGCATGTGCATTGTTTTACTACTAAATCATATTTCTTTAATACAATAATTTTTACTTCGTAAAAATGCATATTAAGTGAACGTGAAGCTGAAAAAAAAAAACGCTATACGTGAGTATAATCCAGAATACGATTTTTCTTAGTCTGTAAAACGACGTAGTAAAGTTTTTATTTAAATATGCAAAAATGATAAGTAACATTAGACACCCTTAAGCAGAACTCCTGGCTGCGTCCCCCACATGAATAACACAATGTCTGAGTCCACCAGCCCCTAGGTTTTCAGGATCCAGGTGGACATGAAACAACATCTAAGTACGACAACTTGGTTTCCACCTTCTCGGTGGCAATCAGCATAGTCGGCCTTGTTCAAGAAATGCCGCTCCCAGGATGTTACGCAACGAGCGGCTAAACGCGCTAACCGCTTGGCCGGCCCTGCACACCCCCCCTCCCCCAGTCGATCGCGATGACGGACGTACCTTCATCAGCATTCGGCAGAGCTTTTCAATCTTCCTCTCGCGCTCCAGCTGCGAAAATAAAGGAGCCCACTGTCAACCAAACTCTGCGAGCCACTCGCAGCAGTGCGGGCATCGCCCGACGGAGTTAAACTTCACTTTCGTTTGTCTTCCGATGGGACACTTTTTAAAATTTTCTCCTGTGGAATGGAAAGCGAATCGCGGGGGTCGTCTCTGTTGACGGTCCCCTGAGAACGGTGATGGAAATTCCTCATTCCCATGGGATTGGGGGGGAGGGGATCAGTATAGCAACATATTGAAAGTAACTGAGTAATCATCACTGCCTGTTGAATGAAATAATTGATATACGATATGCAAGGCCCTTGAAAATGGCCCTTTATCAGAGAAGATTGAAAAATGTTGACGTGTTTATAGAGTTAATTTCGCACTTTGTTTTCACATAAATTGAGTGAAAATCGTGCCGTTTTGAGAGACGCGTTCATGAACCAACAAAATAATAATGATCTCTTCACAAATACTGTATCATGAAACACGCCATCACATATCACACACACAAAAACCCAAATACAACGTGAATTTTCACACTCGTTGAATGAAAATCAATCAACTATACTTCAATTCCTGACGGAAGCCCCCAAAACGCAGTGCAAAACGTCAGACATTGTGGCGAACAACAACAGGCGTAACGACCCCAATACACAATAGAGACCGACACAGCAGCACAACCGAGAAGACCTTACGCTGCACTGCTGGTTCCTCATCAAGAAACCTGTCCCTCAGATGCTTAATTCGCTTAAAATTGACGACCTTCGCCTGGGCGGTCTTCGCTGGGAACCAAACTCCTCACGCAGCCTCTTCACCAAGGTTAGTGAGGTCGCCCCGAATAAAAATTCTGAGTTCCACCAACTTAGGTCAGGGCCACGTGAAGACGTGGCTGGCGGTTCTCAAGGTCGGCTGACCTTGGAGCTGACTCCAAGACCCACGCACAGCTCTGACGAAACACGTTCGCCTTCATCTGTGGCTGTTAAAAACGTGCGTTTATGGCTTTATTTTATTTTGTTTAAACTTTGGTCCGATCGGCGATCCAGGTCACTCTTGCAAATGAGAATCGTCCCGGTGTCTTTTGCTCTCACCTGGTTAAACAAATAAACTTGATCTCGAACAGAAATCCACGTAAAATAAAATAATCAATTGCGGTCACTCTGCGGATCAGCGCACGACCCAACGTCCCCTCCGTCTGATGGCGCTCGTGAAGATTCAACGGGCTGGACAGGCCCGAGTCCTTTAGGTTAGCTCCGTTGTTACAGTTCGTCATTGATTTTTGAGGAAGGCCACATTATGATCTGACCAAATCTGTGACGTTAAGAACCCTCCAACACCTGACACAGCCAAACATTTTAATCGACGCGTCTACAAGCGTTTAACACCGTGCCAATTACTGTACTATTGTTTCAGCAGCTCACTGATAAGTTGCTGAACAATCCTCATAGCCGACTTGAGAAAAAATAGATTCAGGACAGGATGCAGGAAGTCAGAATGACATGTACAGGACTATAAAGATGGGCCATTGAACGGGCATTGCCCGAAACGTCACCTATCATAGATTTTTTTTTCTTTTCAAGGCCAAGGTATTATTGAGATTTTTTTTCTCACAATTTGTTTGGTTGTGTTGGGTGGTTTAAGGTTCTCAGTGATACAGATTTGATAAAATCATTACGCAGCCTAACCCAAAACATCTATTACGAATCATACACAAAATATATTGCTTAACAATACCCACGTGTTCCGATTTTATATTTGAGGGCAGCCTCACATCCAGTGCCAGGTTGCCCGTACAAAAAGCGTTACATAATTTCGCCAGCAGATCGATAAGCACAATGCATGCTGGGTTTTGACGGAGCGTTTTGTTGGTCTGTAAAAAATAAATAAGATGCCAGCCTCATGGGTTAGCTTAGGACAGTTGTTGCAATTCTCAGTATATCTATATATGTTGCCTTTGTATGGATTTACATCTTGCGCCTTTACACCCAATCGTGCTGTTCCTATCCTATTGTTCTTATTGTTTTGTTTTTTGTAATAAACGCGACGCATACGAGTGATGAACAATGCTCCGTTTATCATTGTTATTATTGAAGAACCCTAAACAACAACACTCCACTGAATGCAAACAAGTTTAAGCTTTCTGAACAAATGTTGAGCGATTAAGAGGCATCTGTCTGGTGGCTCAGTATACGGGGGTTCAAATCCAGGTTCGAGCCATGTGTGATGAAACCGAGATGTCAGGTTTACTGAGTTGTTTATCTCAATCTACTTGCCAATGACCGTATAAAATTGTAACATTTCGCTTCATTCAGCAGATTTCATTGCATAAGGATTGAAAATGTTGGTTTGGTTGCCATGTGATGCACACCCCTTGCATGGTGCTTCAAGATGTGCCACCCGGTGTGTGGAAAAAAAAACCGTGGATGAAACTTCAGTTTTCAGCTCTTGACATCATCTTCTGGAGACCGTTGTTGTGGACACAAGGTGATGCTCTGCTCAATGTGAGATATTCCACGTGATAATATATTCGTGTCAACACATGACACTACGAGCAAAATGTAGATATTGTATAAAACATAAAAACTGTAAAGAATTCTAATTTTGAGCATTTATATTGAACCAGAAGAGTCCTACATGCGCCTTCATTTGTCTCCTTGAGTCTTAAAGACTTCCACTGAATTCTGCCTTCTGGGGTTCTAAATTATCTTGAGCAGCCATGGTCATTCCACTGCTGGAAGAAGGCCTCCGCACAAGGCGCTGCCATTTACAAAACACCGCACAATAAAACAGAAACGTTTCGCGAAATTGTGTGTCTCTGCGAAAAACGCGCCGGATCAGGGCTGCGGAGTATTTTTTATTGAGGCACTGAGCTGGAAAGGAGCTAATGGAGGTTAAAGAAGACATCGAACGCCTCCAACTTGGCAATGTCCCATGGGCCCCCCACCACTCAGACTCCCCCCACCACTCAGACTCCCCCCACCCCTCAGACTCCCCCCACCCCTCAGACTCCCCCCACCCCTCAGACACCCCTCAGACTCCCCCCACCCCTCAGACTCCCCCCACCACTCAGACTCCCCCCACCCCTCAGACTCCCCCCACCCCTCAGACTCCCCCCCACCCCTCAGACTCCCCCCACCCCTCAGACTCCCCCCACCCCTCAGACTCCCCCCACCCCTCAGACTCCCCCCACCACTCAGACTCCCCCCCCCCCCCTCAGACTCCCCCCCACCCCTCAGACTCCCCCCACCCCTCAGACTCCCCCCACCCCTCAGACTCCCCCCACCCTTCAGACTCCCCCCACCACTCAGACTCCCCCCACCCCTCAGACTCCCCCCACCCCTCAGACTCCCTCCACCCCTCAGACTCCCCCACCCCCCGCTGTAGTCCCCCACCCCTTCACAAACACTGAGGGACTGCGTGATGCAGCGTTCTTCACGCATTTCCGAGGGGAGGGAGGCACTTCGCCGGTAAGACGTCACCAGTGTGAGGTCCGCCACGCATTTGAAACCGTTGTGGGTTTGACAGCAGCACGATGGCGATGACGATGATCGTGGTGTGTTCACTCGTTGCGTCTTGTCGGGGGCCGCACGAAAGATGTAATTGTGACTACTACAGGCTCGGTCCTCCACTCTGACTTCGGCTGTGCCCAGTCTCCAGTGTATGGGGGGAGCTAGCTACATAAGCCCACAGAGGCACACGTGGCAGCAGCAGAAGCTCTATAACGTGGTGGTGGGAGTCCCAATGGGAGTGAAACCGATAGACATTGCCCTTCTTGTCCACCTGCTGCCCAAGTTAAAAATGCAGAAACATAGCTCCCTCTTAGAGCCATTGACACAGACTGTTGGGGCAATTGCTGTTAGCCAGCACATATGAAGGCCGGAACGGCACACGGCGGAGGGGGGGGGGGGCAAATACCACGCCCTTGTCTCCCCAGTGTTGATGTTCATTAAAGGCTGGGTCGATCTAGGGGATGCCCGGTTCAGATAATCGTATGTTGGCTGTGAGCGGGAATTGAACTCGGGCCGCGGGGTTCGTAGCGCTAACCACCACACTACCGCTCCCCACACTCGTAATCGCACAATCAGCACACAGGCTTGGTCAACACAAAGACATTCACACATCTCGCACACAACACACATTGGAGAGCCCCTCTTGTTCCTTACTCTGTTAACCGTGACTCCTATTATCCGCAACAGCACAAACCCCCTACTGCTCACGGCCCTATTCTCCCAATTACCCTCCGTAAATTTACCCAAAATTATTTGCAGAATGGCTTCCAATTTCTCGTGATTTTGTTTTCGCGGTTACAAGGAGCCGCGTGGAAAATTACAGTACTCCAATAATATGACCCGTTATACGCGTATTGATTACGGGGCCCGTGTTGAGTAGCCGAGGAGGCTCGTGGAGTTTATAATAGAGGGGGGCGCATTATTAGCATGGTGACTTATTACGCTCGTTAACCCAGAAAAGCCTCTCAGAGTCTCACGCCTCTTTGACAAGAGGATCCTGCCAGATTGGCAACAGGGGGTGGGGGGGGGCAGCCGTTCCCCCTGTCCCCGAAGGTTCACTCAGTGACGACTACCTTGGTGATGCAGTCAGTTGGGTCGGAAGCTGCATTGCTCTCTCTCCAAAGCTCATCATAAGCAGCGATCTGCGCGGGAGGAGGGTGGGACAGCAAAGGATTGGGACGAGAGAGACAGAAGATAGGGGGTGAGGATAAGGAGGAAGAGTAGAGAGATGCATACATGAAACACAACGCAATAGAATACCAAGGACTGCATTGGCAGTACACAGTGAATAAACCAAACTTCAACACTTCTGTCAATATCAAAATAAAAACGAGATGCACACGCACGCGCGCGCGCACCGAAGGTGTCGTGACAGTGGGTGGCGTGTCGGGGCGCTGAACCCACTCTGTAGTGGCTGCCTTGACTCGTGGAGGACCTTCTGCCAGCAGTGGCGTGAGCGAACAAATGTCAGGGCTGCGCCTCTACCGCAGCAGGGCATGGCACGAAAGGGATTAAAAGCCAGAGACCAACACAACTCACTGCAAGTTATTGGTGTTATCGTTTGCAAGTTATCGTTTGCACTTGTATGTATGCATGTTGAACTTCTTCCGCACCGTACATAGCCAACCGTGCTACACAGCACCGGGTGTAAGATTGTTCACCAATTTACCTTCACGTCACAAGTGAGGGATCAAGTGTACATATATCAGGTAATAACAATAATATACATTTGTAAAGTGGCCACATGTAATCCGTAAACGACAATGCGGTCTGTGTGTGTCAAGCAGGAAGGGTACACGGCCAGAATACGGAGGGGCTAAAGGCCACTTTACCGAGGCGAGTTTCCAAGACAGCCTTGGAAGCAGCTCTTGGCGACTCTGATGACTGGCACGTGCCGGCGACCCAGTCAGACAGGGTTCCGAGGTCGGCGAAGGAGACTCGTGGCGCGTTAGCGAAGAGATGCCTAAGGTTGCCACGTGGCCAATTTACTCAGCGCTTCAGCAGCACCGCCGTTAGCGCCTCGAGAGCTATCCCGCACACGTTTTGCAAATTGGTGCGACGTTTCGCTGCTAGTTACAGCCACCGTTATCAGGCAGTTGCCAGAAATCAACCAAACAATGACCTGTGATTAATTATTTGTTTGAAAGCGAGTGTGTCTACTTGTCCTGAGACTCAACACATTCGTCAATAACGCTGCCTTATAAATACATAAATACATAATGAATAAGCGACGTTTTGGGCAATGGCTCTTCTTCATAGCACATCTATATATCACATCGTTGTGCTATGAAGGGCCATTGATAACATTATACTATATATACAGTATACTATATATACAGTATACTATATATACAGTTTGCTATATACATATACAGTATACAAATACTCCAGCCATTCCCAATTCCCCAATACTTGAAACCTCGTCCATAATGGAGATGTTTTTTTTACCATACTTCACCTTGCTGATCAGAACGGGCTAATTATATTAGCATACGTGTTTATAGAGCAGTGTGGATTAAGGACAAGACTACGAAGGCCTTTGTAGCAGACTCATTAAAGAGCCATTTAAATTAGAGCGAGTAAAATTATCCATCACTGTTGTATCCTTCGTCATTATCATTAGCTTATTAATTACTCCACTCTGTTCTTTTTTTGCGGTTGTCGGCATTTGGTCAAGTCATTAATATCTCATTGTGAGGGATTCTACATCCACGTGTTTGCGTGTGTGTGTGTGGAGAGAGCGGTGTCGCAGTGGTTAGCACACCGCCACACGAACCCGGCGACCTGTATGTGTGGATGTTGAACTTATTTCGCACCGAAGGTAGCCAGCTGTGCTTATTGCAGGGGCGGGGGAAGGACAACAAACTAAAATACAAAAGCAGGTCTAAAAAAATTAGTTTGTCAATCTAGATTATTTTAAAGTGCATAGCTCCAGTGGCTTCCTAATATCGGAAAAGAAGAGCGTTCCAGACGGCCGCAGAAGCGCATCTGAAAGCGCGCGATGATGCAGTGACGACCGCCTTTCTTCGATGACAGCCAAAAGGCGCTGCTGCAAGGATGCCGACGGGGTTCAAGTCCACTGCACGGCTCCAGCCACTAAGATCAGTGAGACGCACGTGAGCTTCTGGAGTAGCTGTGAGCACCTGGTACGATGGGTGAAACATCAACAGCACTGGAGAGATAAAGGCGGCCGGGTGTGGTGCAAGCCAACCACCCCCCTTGTCCGCCATGCCGGCCCTCCTTCATAGGTGCTCGCAAACAGCACTTACCCCAATAGTCTGAACATCTATAACGAATGAGGTGGGGGCGCTATCTGTGAATGCACGTGTGAGTTTGTATGTGTGTGTGTGTGTTTAATCCGATTCGAGTGACATAAATCGTTGCATTGTCAATTTGCAAGCGTGACGATCCATAAATCGTCCTATTTGTTGGGTGATTTCTCTTCGTGTGAGACGGCCTCTCCGAGGCTAATTAACACCCAAGACATCTGCTCCGGATTTACATCACGAATGTACGACGGGAAATGCACGGACCGCACTACCCCCCGCTCCCTCTGTGCGCCCAGCCATCACCGGTCCCTCTCCCGCTCCCTTCTCACCCCCCCTGCCCCTCGCCGACTCCCCTCGTCAACCGCCCCCCGCCCCCCGTTCATCATCCTCGTCGTGCCCCGGCTGCCCGGCTTTCGGAGGCACTGGAGCGCGCCCTGTGTGCAGCGGTGTGTGATGCTGCTGCTGATGCACACTCCAAGCAAGCGTGATGCTCACCACGCGTTAAGCCCTCACTCCTCGCGCAGCTCTCTGAGCACGGAGCGCCGTGCTGCAGCGGCAGAGAAGACCGTGGGTCGTCATGATAGATGATGATTATCGTCGTGAACGTTATGCCACGAGCTCAGCCTCGCTCGTATGTGAATGTAGCGCCAATCCAGCAGCGGATAGACCGCGGATTATGATGAAAAATGAATGTTACAACGTGCCTGTTACTCCGAACACATGTCTATGTGTGTGTGTGTGTAATGGTCAGATATAAGGAGCGGTGGTGTAACCGTTAGCGCGCTGCGCTAAGAACCCAGCGGTCCGAGTTCGATTTCCACTCACGGCCAACGCCAGTGACGATAATTATCTGAACCGGTCCTAGGCCTCCCCTAGGTCAACTCAACCTCAAATGAGTACCTGGTGCGTTGTGTAAACATCGCCACTGGGGAGACAAAGGCAGTCGGGCGTGGTGCTGGCCACCCACCCCCTCGTGTACTGTGCTGGACTTCATAGGTGCTACTCGCCAACAGCACTTGCCCCAACAGTCTGTTAAGGCTACACGGGGGATCTTAGTCCTTGAGGCAGAGACAGGAGCGAACACTTGCTAGAGACGATGGAGGTAACGATGCAAGGAAGCGTGGTTGGGGATGTGTGCGTCGTGGTGAGGGGGTGATGAGGCGTTGACCGATGGACGAGACTGCTGACGGAATGTCGCTCGAGTGCTCAGCCACCGCGGAGACATCGGTGCAAGGACACCGCAGTGAGGTGGGGTAGCGTGATGGAGATTGAAGGTACCCCACCGAGGCTGTGTGTGAAGAGCTGTCCCCCTTCCAAGGGTTAACGACGTTTCAGTTTCATTTAATTTATGAGGTATAACCCTCTGAGCCATGCGACGTGCCTCGGCATTAGGGGGGGAATCGACAGCCCGCGAGTGAAACAGGAGCCGCGACTCCACTTGACGTGGCCCGCGACGCCACTTCACGTGGCCCGCGACTCCACTTCACGTGGCCCGCGACTCCACTTCACGTGGCCCGCGACTCCACTTCACGTGGCCCGCGACTCCACTTCACGTGGCCCGCGACTCCACTTCACGTGGCCCGCGACGCCACTTCACGTGGCCCGCGACGCCACTTCACGTGGCCCGCGACTCCACTTCACGTGGCCCGCGACGCCACTTCACGTGGCCCGCGACGCCACTTCACGTGGCCCGCGACGCCACTTCACGTGGCCCGCGACTTCACTTTCACGTGGCCCGCGACGCCACTTCACGTGGCCCGCGACTCCACTTTCACGTGGCCCGCGACTCCACTTCACGTGGCCCGCGAATTCAATTCACGTGACCAGCGACACCGACCACTTCCAAAGAAGTCTCCACGCAACATCTACAACATCTATTCCGTCGCTGCAGGCAATTTATCCGCACGAATCGGGTACTAGACGAGGTGGGGGGGGGGGGGGGGGGGTATTTTCGACCATTTTCAAAAGTCGTGCTCGTGATGTGTGGCGTCCGTGTGGACCGCCAACGTTGTTTGAACGTCCGATTCGGTGATGGTAGCAATGTCCCCCATCCCCTGGAGCAAGGTTTTCACGCCGTGAGGTGAGCTCACGGCGTTTCTCTCTCTCCTCATAACGAGCTGTGTACGGACGTCCCTTAAGCCATTGGTGGTTGGAAATTCGACATTACCATGTCGGGGGCCAGCCTATCATAACAAGAACTTCCGTTGACTTTTTACAAAAGTTGAAGCTATTTTATCGTACTCTTTGGTTCTATTCGGTAAAGTCACGTAGGTAAAAAATAAAATAACAAAAATCACGACGTTTCGGCCACAACACAAGTGGCCTTCATCAGGTGAAGGGACCGGACTGTCCAGAGGACAGCGTTGGAGTGAAGACAGCCAAGCACAGGTCGCCTCCTTTAAGCTGTGTGGTCGCGGCATCTTTTGAGAAAGGTCAGCGTCTCGATGAGCTGTGACTTCTTGTCCCGTTGTCTGTTGAAAGCTCTAACAGATAGTTGAAAGCCCTCCCCGTAGAGGTTATCAATTATAGATTTGAAGCTTTCGTGACTGCAAGGATCCATACTCTATTTTATCGACCCGAGGGGATCACCTGCTCGCAGGGGCAAGGCCGAGGTTTCAACTCACGACCGTCCGATTGTGATCCTGGCGCGTGTCGTTGACACGGCCAACAGAGCGGGCGATTTACAAAACACGCCTCGCTCACAGCCATCTCACGCATAGCGCATCGTCACCGCTCGCGTCATTGTGCAAGCGGACGAAGTAACACCATAACGTTGTGTGTGTGTGTGTGCAGTGTGTTGTTATTGTTTGACAGTTGAGACGTGAATAAGTCTCTTGCTGCTGAGAAGTGGTTAATTCTACCAAAACAACACCGACTGATCCGACAGTGAGCATGAAGAGCTGAGGGGCCGGGGCTGTGGTCAAGCCAAACTCGCGGCATCGTCGTGAAACAGTCGCTCCGCCGGCGGTGTGAGAGCGAGCGCCAATCACACAACTCGACACACGACACGGTGGCGTGCCGAGATGTTATCTACTTCGCCTGGTATACAGGAGGTCGCGGGTTCGATCCCGAGCCTGACGCCTGCTGTGTATTTGGAGTTTGCGTCTCTCTCCCCGTGGTCGTGTGGATTTTTCTCCGGGTCCTCCGTGTTTTCCTTCCACATTTAGAAACGCGCGTTTAGAGTATTTGGCTGCTATACATTTTCACGTAATATACCAATCTGTTGGGCTATCATTTGAGACCAGGTCGCTTCTGAAAAAGAGCTACATAGCTCAGTGGGCTTTACCTGATAAAAATACGTAACTAAATATAGATTTGTCAAACACACTGCCTGCATTTAAATAAATAAATACATAAATACCGATATATAACAATAGGTGACATTTTGCCCATTGAGCGCTTTCCAATGGCCCTTCATCCCCCTGTTATGTGTCAATACACAGCCTGAAACTAATATATATACTCTTTGACGTTTCGGGCCACGGGCCTTAATCAGAGCACGTACCCAGAGGCCAGAGAGATAGAAAGGGTTGAAGAGTGCAGTTAACTCTGTGGCGCCTGAGGAGAATTCCATTTTTAAATGACACGTTCTTCAAGAGAATGTGTCTGCTACTCCTTAGCTAACATTAGTGTAACTGTTCCTATGCCCATTCATAAAATGGTAATCGGAAAACATATTTTAAATGTAATTCTCTTCAGGCCCTCATGGCGTTAAGTGTAGTTTATAACCCGTATTACCTCTCTCCCCACTCTCTCTGTTTATGTGTTCAGAAGAAGGGCCATTGCCCGAAAGGCCACATTGTTCGTGACGAGAGTTTTTGTTGTAATTTGCGGTTGTGTACCACTGCAATTCCGTAGCAGCATCACCAGATAATCTGCTGTAAGTTGGCAGACATCTCGACTGGAGTCAAATGCGTGAGAGTTCAAAATCCAGGTCAGAGGGGGATTTGAGTCAGCTCATCATTACTCCAAGGTCGAGAACTCACAGTCCATAGTGATCGTGTTCATGAAAAACATACCTGCCACCGGCCATATGAAGGTGGAACTTTCCACACCCCTGGCTCGGGGTTAGATCGGTGAGCGCTGCTCAGTGCTCGGTGTGAGCAGAGAGACGTCGTCTTTTTGGCAAAAAAGATGAGTGGTGACAGAGCGTCTTGTTGTCTCTTACGCATCTCACATAAGAGTGCTCTATATTCATATATTGGAATCCGCCACTCTCTTGTCGCTTTAGGAGCCTCCGTGTAGAATTGTTATTATATTGGAGCCGCCAATCACGAACACGTGGCACAATCAGCCCGGTCGGTTTTACATGTTTGCCCCAGTATAAATGTCAATCATCACCACAGATTACTGTAGAACTCATTTGTTGTGTCTGAACTAATTAAGCCACGCGCACCACGGTGCCAACATGCACCCATCGGAGCGTTAGTATTCGTTTGTCATCTCTGTTGGAGATCTCCCCCTCCCCAGACTCCTCTCCAACCCCCCCCTCAGACGGTGGCAGAAATTCCACGTTCTTATGGAAGGGAGCGGTTCACTCATAATACAACCACTGATGGATTTCCATAAGCGGCACACCTACACTACCTGGCACTCGTTTCATTCACTGTGAACATTTTTTTGATGATGGTGGTGTGAGGATTATTATGACCCTGATATCGAAGATAGTGATGATGATGATGATGTTGGTGGTGTTACTCCTGCTGATGTTCCTGCTGCTCCTGTTGATGACGACGTTGACCATAATCTTGCTGCTGATGATGATTTTGACAATAAAGCTGCCGCTGCTGCTGCTGGCAATGACGTTGATTGATAGGATAAGTTGACCCTGGCTGGATCTCCAACTCATTACATTACAACCGAGCGGCCCTCTATTCTACCCACTGATCATCTACATCTCAGTGACAATAAAATACCACCACAATCACAAATCTCACAACATCATGCAAATACCGATCAAATGCTCGTCTATACAAAATTGCATCTCAAGATTATCACGGTTGGCTACATACAACAATAATAACAATAATAGTTGCAAGGTTATTTTGTTTAGCCAAGTTAGAAGTCAAGAGACCAGGATGAGTCTCATTTGCAAGAGTGATTTGAGGCACCAACATCACACTTAGCAACAACAAAATCAGCACAAGACAACTGCATATATCACTTGCTGAGACATTTCAAATATTGCAACTCATAATTCCCTGCAGCGCAAATCGGCTCGGTCACATTTATCTCCAGATTGGAACATAGCACAAATGACACAAGATGAAACATTTAACAGACATAGCTGTGAGTATAGTACACGCTAATATGTGAACGGACAATGCTCTATGCAGTCAAAAGCAATTGCAGGTGAAGTTACCATAAATAATGGACGGACAGTTTAACATCAAATTGTGATTAGCTGGGAGAGGAATAGTGATCTTGATGATGATGATGCTGATGGAGGATTACACAGGTGTAAGAGGAAGAGGAATAGACATCAACTCACCCTCCACACGGCAAAGAACAGCAGAGCGGAGCAGAGCACGAGAGCGAGCATGTAGCAGAAGGCGACAAAACTGAAGACCATGGTGATGCAGTGGCTGACTTCCTTCGACTCATCACTCAGCGACCACCAACTGTACACCTGCACTAGGTACGGCGCCACGTGTGTACATCAGATGACACACACGTGGACTCGTGTGTGTATATATATTATACATGGGCGCGCGTAATCCCGCCGTTCTCCTGCTCGCTCAGCCAGTGCCACTCACTGCAAATCAGCCCGCTACTTCCACCGCCACTGCTCTGCAACGAATAACAGAGCCGACACGACAACAGACACACGTGGCGTGCCTCGAGCGAATGCGTAACAACTCGTGTGTGCAGGTGATGATGATGATGATGACGAAGGCGCGTGCACAATCTAGTCGGGATTGCGAGCCTCGAATGTTTGCACGAGATACTGCTGCGGATAATAATCCCGGCGTCTCCTCTCTCTATGCGCCTCGTCTCTCTGTGCGTCTGCTGTGTGTCTCTGCTGCTGTGTGTGTCTTCTGTACCGGGGTAGAAGCCGCTGTGTGTTGTTATAGTTAGCGGAGTAAGTCTGCCGCTTGTCACACGCAGCCCTCGCTACTGTTGTTCGCAGATAGACCGCGCCGTTCCCATCTCTCTCGCCCGCTCGCTTCATCGGCAGCGCATAAACTTGAATGGTCCGATGCAGCAGCGAGGTGCTGGCGGGCAAAGAGGGTGGGCGAATTGGGGCAGCGGGGAGAGGGAGGTTGGGGAAGAAAGGTGGGAAATTAGGGGGTGGGGGGCGAAGGAGGGTCGGAGATTTGAAGGGGAAGAGCGGAGGGAGGTTGGAGAAGGGTGGACGATTTGGGGAGAGGAAGGTTGGGGGCAGAGGGTGGGGTAAATGGAGGGGGAGAGGTGGGGAGGCTAGGCAAGGAGGGTGGGAGATTGGAGGGGGAGGGAGTTGGAAGGCGGTAGGTATGGGTGTTGGGTGGGGGTGTAATAGGGGATGTGTTGGGGGATGTTGCTTGGAGGTGCAGACAAGCAGCAGAGTGGGCGCGTGTGGCTCTCGATGCCGGGGCCTCCCGGCGTATTGCGGGGAGCGGTGGGGTGGTGGTGAAGGCACCGCGCTGCGAACCCGATCCCCGAAGTTCGATCCCCGGTCACGGTTAACATCGGTGCTGGGTGATGTCGGAACTGTTCCTGCGCGTCCCCCTCAGTCGACCCATGATAAAATGAGTACCTGGTGCGGTGTGTAAACATCGCCAACAGTCTGTTAAGGCTATACGGGGGATCTTTGTCTTTTGTAGTGGCTCGCACTCTGCGTTGCGAAACCGGCGGCCCGAATTGGATTCCCGAATAAGGCCAACACCGGTGATAGCGATTGTCTGAACCGGTCCTGGGCCTCTCCTAGGTCGACTCAGCCTCAAATGAGAACCTGGTGCGGTGTGTAAACATCGCCACTGGGGAGACAGAGGCAGTCGTGTGAACGTGCCGACCTTCACAGATGCTTGTTAATAATACTCGCCCACAAAAGTCCGTTATGTCTATACTGGGGATCTTTTTTCTTTGTAGGGAGGCTTATATAACACTCTGTGCGCGTGCGAGCGATGCCGCGGGTCTCGCACTGCGCTAGGAACCCCGCGACCTGCGTTCAAACCCCGGTCACGGTGAACACAACAGCAAGATGCATCCCTACCTCTTTTGGGATGCCCCTAGGTCCGTCCCCTCTATCTAACACTGTACCTGGTAACAACAACAATAACAACATCTTTTCCACGTCAGCAATGACTAGGAAGACAAAGGCGACCGGGCGTGGCTGTGGCCACACCACCCCATCGTGTCTTTAACAAATATGAGGCGTGCGAATGCCCCCCCCCACCGCTCGCTTAATTGACTCGAGGCGCGGGGCTGTGCGGTGGAAAAGCGCTGAGCGAGGGCTTCCCGTGGCGAGCGAGGCCAGATCCACCGCCTCTCCCTCCCGGATGAACCCACCACAATTTACATCGAGAACAGCCGCCTCGATTCAGATCCCTTGGAGGAGCTGCAAGGCGAAGAGACCCCAGCTGTTATCTGCTCTCACTCATCCAGCCGTTCACCCATTGACTCACACACCAAGCCACACATTCACCCAGCCACCCGGGTCAACTATCCACCGGTACTCTGACCACCCACACCCCCAGCTACTCACTCTCCCAGCCACCCACACCCCCAGCCACTCTCCCAGCCACCCACACCCCCAGCCACTCTCCCAGCCACCCACACCCCCAGCCACTCTCCTAGCCACCCACACCCCCAGCCACTCTCCCAGCCACCCAAACCCCCAGCCACTCTCCTAGCCACCCACACCCCCAGTCACTCACTCTCCTAGCCACCCACACCCCCAGCCACTCACTCACCCAGCCACCCACACCCCCAGCCACTCACTCTCCCATCCACCCACACATCTGCCACCCACACACCCAGTCACTCACACACCCAGCCACCCACACACCCAGCCACACTCACCCAGCCACCCACACACCCAACCACTCACACACCCAGCCAACCACTCACCCAGCCACCCACACACCCAGCCACTCACACACCCAGCCAACCACACACCCAGTCACTCACACACCCAGCCACCCACACACCCAGCCACACTCACCCAGCCACTCACACACCCAGCCACTCACGCTCCCAGCCACTCACCCAGCCACACACACTACTCACCAAGCCAGGCAGCGAATCACCCACTCACAACGTTCATGGTCATCTCTTCGATACAAAGTGGCGCTCATTTCCATTGGTGACTCTGAGCTAACGATGAAAGTTCCTCGTTTCTATGGCAGGGCCAATCTGCGTGTATAACTCCGTGTGTAACACCCGTGTGTGTACAGGGTGCCTGCACGTTGTGCATCTTCTCTTTAGAACATGCTCGGGTCGTTTTACCATAATTGTACTTTAAAGAGGAAAGGCCAAACGATTGAAATTGAGCTTTTTGAAAGCTGTTTAAATGTGCACCTGTTTGGACTTTCCCTAACCTACTGTTGATCTTTAAATTTAATTCGTAAATTAAATTTCGTGTTGAGAACTAAATAGCGATCGTTTTCGTAATGTGTTAGGCTTTGATGTTTCACTTTCATCCCGTACTTGTTACGGGCTTGGGTCGATTTAAAACGGAGTTCTCATTTCAATGAGCTCTTACCTGGTTTCAAATAAAGGACATGAATGAATTAAAACATAATTATTATTATTCCCTTTGTGAATCATCAACTGGATAAATGGCTCATGGCCATGTGTCCATCATGTGAATTGTTTCCCATACTTCCGGACGCCACAGGGGCGAGATGTCCACTTGCTTGTGGGTTCGATCCCGACCCTGACACCTGTATATTTGGAGTTTGTCTCTTCCACTCCCCGTGGTCACGTGGATTTTTCTCCAGGTCTTCCGGATTTCCTTCCACGTTTATAATCAACATCACGCCTTCAGAGTTTTTGGCTACTACACATTCCCACGTGATAAGCCACTTCGTTTAGCGATCATTTGTGGCCAGATCGCTTCTTTAAAAGAGATACATAGCTCAATAGGCGTTACCTGATCACATTTAAAAAGTTGAATAGTTTTTAAAGTTTACTTTACCGCACTGGTCATGGCCAGTTGATGGGCGTGTTCACGTTGACACATTTATAATAAGGCGTCTTTTAAGACTGAGTCGACCTAGATGAGGCGTAGAATCCGTTCAGAGATCTCTTGCTGAATGGAATTCAAGTCACCGGCATTCGCCACAGCGCGACGAACGCCAACGGCGACTCAGTGGCGCGGATTCACGAACACGAAGAAGAAGAATGAGGAGGAGGAGGCGGCGGCGGCGTCACCACAGCTGCGATGCCACCAATTCGCGACTCCTGCCGCAATTATTCTGGCTCAGCCACCTCGATGTAAACAGCGCAGCTGTTGCTCTCCGTCAACATCAGCCACACAAAGAGGAAGATTAGAGCACAGTTTTCCCAACTACCGCGCCACGACTCCCTCCCCCACAATATATAAAAATGCACATGCATAAGTAAACAGGGCGAGCCTTTGATTCGATTTTAATGAATGAATGCACGAACCCAAATCTATTTACATCGCACGTGTGCCAAGCTCTGTCCTCCTCGTGGCGTTGCGTTGACAAATGGCGAGAAAAGGTGCCGCTCGGTGAAGCAACCAACGCCGCGGTGGCTAAGAGATGTTAACTACCTCGCCTGTTACACAGGAGGTCGTGGGTTCGATGTTGAGATGTTAACTACCTCGCCTGGTACATAGGAGGTCGTGGGTTCGATGTTGAGATGTTAACTACCACGCCTAGTACACAGGAGATGGTGGGTTCGATGTTGAGATGTTAACTACCTCGCCTGGTGCACAGGAGGTCGTGGGTTCGATGTTGAGATGTTAACTACCACGCCTGGTATACAGGAGTTCGTGGGTTCAATGTTGAGATGTTAACTACCTCGCCTGGTACATAGGAGGTCGTGGGTTCGATGTTGAGATGTTAACTACCTCGCCTGGTACACAGGAGGTCGTGGGTTCGATGTTGGGATGTTAACTACCTCGCCTGGTATACAGGAGGTCGTGGGATCGATGATGAGATGTTAACTACTATTTGCCTGGTATACAGGAGGTCGTGGGTTCGATCCCGACCCCGACGCCTGCTGTTGTATTACACATTTAGAATCAGCATCACACGTTTAGAGTATTTGGCTGCTACCATAAATTTCCACGTGATAAGCCACTTCATTGAACTATCATTTACGGGCAGGTTGCTTCTGAAAAATATCTACATAGCTCAGTTGGCCTTAGCATTTGTGCCCAGGTATGTCGTGGCCGTGTGCCATTCCCACTACAACCTCCCATTTAAATAAAAATGGGAGGTTGCATTGTAAAGGGCACGCGAGCAGGCTGGATGAGGGCAATGTTACCAAGACGAGCGTTGGAGTGGCACCCAGCCAAATGGTGGTGGTGGTGGTGATTACGGTGGTGACGATGGTGGTGGTGGTGATAGCGATGGAGATTGTGCCACGTGTGCAGCAGCCTGCTGGATCTGGCAGAAGGAAGGAAGCAATGGCGATGTGCGGTGGCATCAACGCAATTGAAGGAGATGGCCTCCTGAAACATGAGTCATGCGGTGCAATATTAGCTCGCGCATCTCACAATGCCGCTGCCAGTAGCGTGCACATCGGCGGGCCGTTTGACCGAGACCTTGACCGGAATCACGACGGAAAATAGTGGCCGATTTATGAGCCTCCGCGAGATGATAGGTTTAGTCGGCTTCCCACGGGGCTCGTGGGTCCAGCGCTCTCATCGCCGCACCACGAATCCGGAGTTTTCATCTCTGAGTGGAGCAAGAAAAGTCTCACTGAGTCCCACGACGCATTCTTCTGGAGGGTCCCGCATTGGGATGTCTGGGCTATCCCTTTTGTTATGCACATTTTGCTTGCAGCAAAGAAGCCGGAGTGCCCAGAGAAGACTCACGGTGCATAAATGTCAGGGACCCACCTTGCTGTAGTGGCAACCTCTCTCAGCCAGCGGTGGCGACAGGCAGAAGCAAACTAAGCAACAGCATCAGGGCCCCAAGAAGCTGAGGGGCCTCGGGTTGATTAAAGACAATATCTCAGTGCGTCCAATATTATCTCACTTGAAAATCCTGAGAAAAATAACAAAACAATTAACATAAGAAGCCAATTAATCTTCCTCACCTCTATCGTGCCTGCATCTCTCATCACGCGACATCGCAATACACGTCTGTGGTTCTTCTGTCGTCTCACGAGGAAGTTATTCTTGGGGAAAA